CTTAACTTTGTCGTACAGGTTATTGGTTGGATTTGCTGGGTCAATGATATATGGCCCACGCTTGAGACTGCAATGCAAAAAACGAAAATATGCCATAAATAAAATTCTCCAGTAAAAGAAAATTCGTTTAATTGCTATATTTTTAAAATTAGCGTGTTTCAATTTCTTGCCTCGAGAGACATTCTGTTAGATTTTGCAACTAATAACAACCATAATAATAATAATGATAATAATAATTCCGTTATTTACCCTCGGCAGTGTTTATGACACTAATGCTAGTGGGGCCGAGCAAATATCTGAAACAAATAATTTAAATCAAACTTAACAGGGGTAAGAATCCCAGCTGGCTATTAAATTTTACAAACATGACCGAGGATTTGAACTCGGGACTACTGTGAATAAATCCAGCTAGTGGTCAGAGCGGGACCTCAACTCGGGGCCTCCGAGTTGCAAGTCCAAGCTCTCTAACCACTCGGCCAACTTATTGAAATAAGGTAAAAAGGGAATACCAGTTAAAAAGCGCTCCTTAATCCTAGTTACATTAATTTTAAAAACTCTATGAATGTACCTGCTTGGAATTAAATCCTCTCTGTAGTAATCTCCCCAAGAAACACGAAGACGTTGGTGATTCTTTAGAGATTCTATAACAGCTTTAAAGCCAATCTTCACGTCAAATCTCTCTGGACGATTTGCATTTTGCCAGGCATGTATTGTGAGAAGCTCCAGTAGATAAGAGGGGGGAAGGCGCTTAGCACTTTTCTTTGGAAGGAACGTCTTGCGCCAATACTTCACCAATCGAATCAGGTCTTTTACGAGTGCAGGCCGTTCCGTGACGAAGTGTCTTTGAATCAACACAAGCGCGGCCGAATAATATTGCCAGTTGGTTGTGTCGTCAAGCATGTTTCTGTAAAACTTTTCCCGTTCTAAGGCATTGAATAGATTCAACATTTATATAAAATTATTTTTACTAAACGCTGATGAATCACTTCTCAAAATTATGCATCTTTGTAGCTACACTGAAAAGCAGTTGACCAACGACCCAATTAAGTCGTTTAATATGCGAGCAATGGTTATTTAGGTCTGTTGCACCTACATGTGAAATGTTAAACGCTAGAGTCAGCATCGGTATGGGGGAACTACTGCCTACCAATGCAAGGAATTTGATTTCAGGAACTGTCCCCCGGGTAGGGATTTGAGCGTGTGCAAGCCCGTTACTAACGATATGAATTTTGCTCCTGTTGTTAGCAAACTAATGGAAGATATTGGTGGCAAACAAAATTAAATGAACGGTTTAAGATGATGCAACAAAGTGAAGACCAGTCTTTTGTCCAAAAAAAAAAACACACTGAGATGAAAAGGAAATGAAATGAGCACAGTGCGGCGTGGGTCATACAAGTGACAGAAAAAATTTCAGGGTACAGTTTCTTCAAATTAATTGGAAAGAAAAAGAATTCAGAATGGCATGAAAGAAGTATTAGTGATAAAGATGCAATAATAAATCAGTTCAAAATTAAGATCACAATAGGTAGTAAAAAAGAGATTGCCATACTGGAAACAGATGTTAATTTGACCAAAAAGGGAAAACAAAACAAATCTTAGCTGATTTTGGACATTTTGTAGCCTCCCCCGCAGACATTCTTAGGGGTGCGTCACGCGTTCCTTCCCTAAGAATGTCTGCGAGGGAGGCTACTGAGACATTTTGCGGACTTATTGAAAACCGGGTGAACAATTACATAAGGTAAAAAGCAGCTGTCGATGAGTTAAGTAAGGTTTGATTATGAACGTTGAGTTAACTGGGAATTTCTTCAAGGGGGCTTCCCATTAAAAAAGCCGTGCACTAACTACTCTATGAGTAACTCAAAGTTGCAACTCCTCCTGTTACGTACCTAAAAAGGCATCGATGTCCGGCCGTACGTTTGCTTCAAATGTTGGCAAGAGATCAACCTCAACAGTCTCCCCTGGGTAACGTGACATGCTAAACTGCAAGGAGAACCGCGTTTCCTTCTGCTCAGAAACCAATTTCCATGAGCCCCCTATGCTGCCCGTCAAGCATGACTCAAGCTTATCCTTGATGGCGAGTAGTTTCTTTCTCAACTGTGAAGCGTTGTCAATGCTGTTCATGACCATCACGCAATCCAAGTCGGCGTCGTTTTTTATTGCAGTGCCTTTTGCTATGGATCCACCCTACAAAGACAATGTAGGCGTGTAGGATCTAGTCACAACATTTTTTATCGCTTTCGTGCTACACTGACGAGACCACACGACAACCGTGACCCTAGGTCTAGCAAGAAGGAGACTCCAGGGCAAAAGTACCGGATACGCTAACCTTAACTTTTAATCAAGAGACTATAAAGGGGACAGAGAGGGCATCCCCCATATACACCCTATTCCATAGGTAATTCGTCTCGAGTTATATTTAGAATCGGGATTAAGTTACCTCGCGCGAGGAGTGGATGTTTCGTGGAGGTTTCGCATGACTAAACGCCGTGCAAAACATGTCGGGCGAAAGGCAATGAAAGCGTAAAAAGATCGAGAGCATTCTTGAATATTGAAGCGAAATGAGTCGGCGCTCACCTGGGAAAAAGGAATCGCTGGACTCTTTGACAACCCGTGAAATCAGTTTAACTCGAAGTTGTCGTAACCTCAGTGCTTTAATCAAATGAGAAATTTCGCCGGTCTATTGAAACCGGTCGTTTGTACAATAGGGAGTTTAAGATCCAACGACGCGGACGACAACTAGAACGTCAAAAAAACAATAGGTTTAATTAGCAAAACAACAACTTCGCACGTGCAACACACTTTTTTGTTCATTTCTTTCCTGTTTTTGCACGACTACGACGTGAAAATGCCTAATTTCGCGTTTTATGGAGGACGTAAACAAGCAACGACGAAATTTTATTTCTCTCTCTGAGCTTGAATATGGTCCCTTGAAATTCAGCTTCAGGAGGGTTCGCCTACAATTGATAAAGTAAGTGGGTAGGAATAATCGCTATAAAGACTGAAAAAACTCAAACTCACTTTTTAAGCGACGTTCTTGTCGCCGTCGCGCCGTTGGATCTTAAAGTCCCTAATAAGGCAAGTAGGACGCCAAGTGTTATTTTTGTTGAATAATAAAAGATTAATAAAGGAATAAATATCAAACCAGAAATTGCTCTCTTCAAACTGTAAATTATAAATGATCCTGAGAGAATATTCAGTGTGTTTAGGATTTCCCTGCTGTACTGTTAGCTCTATACAAGAGAGGAAGGGCGATTCTTTTTTAATTTCCGTTTCGCTGACACAGCTTTCGCAGAAATCTCGCTTTAGTCGTTTTCGTCGACAAAAGGAATAGCAAAATCGCTCTCCGCGTCTTCCCCCATTTTGTTCCGCGTCAATTCGTGGAGGACGCGTGGCTCTAGCGTGGGTCGTCCACGCGGAATACATTCGCGCTATGTGATTGGCTGTTGTCCAATCCCCCTTGGGATCTGCGGTTCTAAAAATAACTCGAGACGAATTACCTATGGAATGGGGTGTATATGGGGGATGCCCTCTCTGTTCCCATTATAGTCTCTTGCTTTTAATGGATTTGGCATGAAAGCTACATCTCGGTTATAATTGTTGAAACACTTGCGAATTTCTTTTCCCCTTCCCCATCAATATTGATTTTTAAGACGTTTACGCCCAAGCAAACCCACGAAAAATTATTGAGGGAAGGAGGGTGAACCGATACAGGTATTCGTGGAACGACTTAGTTTATCTTGAACTTTCAGGAAGTTAACAAATTATTTCAAATTTCACTATTCCTTAGCATCTTCGAATGTATTGAAAACTATCGGAGAGGCAAACATTTTCAACCGCCGCCCGTTTATTGTGTGCCACGTCCTTTTTAAGACATCCAGTATCTTCTAGGGATATTGATGAAAATTAACAACATCTACAACGACACCTTTTCCCCGGCGTCTTTCTTAACCACCCACTTTTCGGGCGAAGGGAGGGGGGCTGTCTGACCACCAACCTTGATCAGGTTATGAACTGCATACTCTGTACCCTTCAAGTCTGTCTGAAGTTCTCGGTACAATGAATCAACAGCATCATTAAACAGACGATGAAATTTTTCATTTGGCTGTAGCTCATCATGTATGAATTTGTTCAAATCCAGGCTAGAATTATCTCTTATATCATCTGAAACTAAACAAACAATTACAAAAAATTCAGCGAAATGTTTGTGAGGTAGCAGGACTGCCCAATTCATAATGAATTTTGACAAGAGCCATAATGGGCTCTTGATGTAGGTTCGAATCTCCGAGTGGAAATTTTCGGTGTCTTTACACATTTTTTTCTGCCTAGTTTTAGTTTTTTGTTCATGTAATTTTCCCCTTGCCTTGTTTCCCTTTATTCTCACTGCTGACCCTTTTCAGCTTCATGAGATTTTTACGATAACGTATTTCTAATCGTTATATATCAGCAGGAGCCTATGACTGCCAAAGTGTTTTTTCCACGCAAAACCAGTTGAGACCATTTTTCTTCAACTGTCAGATCAAAAGGTCGGAAATCGAACGTTCGATTGTGTTAACGTTCGATTGTCCAAACGTTTGGTGAGTTCGATTTTGATCGATCGTTTTCGGCAATCGAACTTAATCGTTCGATCAAACTCGATTTAATTCGATTGATTCGATTACCGAATGTTCGAGTACATACGCCGGGCCACATCAACCACCCTCCCCTCACCTGGTCTGATCTCCAACCAAACACTTCAATTTTTTTCATTCGGTATGCAAAGGGTTTTCAAATGCTTATTTAAAGCCTTTTCTGAACGTAATTTTGAAAAATTGCTTTCAGTTAAAATTCTTATTCATCCAGTGGGATTTGACGTTTCAACCGATACAAGGCATTTTACAAGTTTAAGAAGTACCACACCAAAAATGTAACTGTTATTGTTCAAATCAAAATCTAGGGTGAGGGGTTTTTGAACGATGGACGCTAACCGGAAAACGTAAAACTAGGGAAGTTTTACGTTGAAGTCTTGCAACAACGGCAAAGAAAACGGTCCCAATGGGGTGGTAGCTTCGACGGTTGACTGTTAAATTTCAGAGCTTTTGACGGTTGACAGTTATTAAGTGGAAATTTAGTTCAAGAGTTTACGTAAACATTTACCTCAATATTAATTGATAATAATTGTTGTGTTTTTGAGGTTGTCATGCCCATGGCCTTTCACTTTTGAATTTCCGAAATATTTCAGATATGAGCAAGTTGTAAGGTCTTGAAGTGTCTCTAGAGAGTGTTTTCAAGAATGGGAACGGCTTTTTCTTCAGGTCCGTGAATCTCAGCTGAAACAGTGAGATTTTAGGTGGCTCGATACAGCTTTTCAGAGTCAATACCTCCCAAGTTTGAGCATAAATTACGTCGCCATAACATGAACAAAGATTTGAAAAAATTGCCACCATTGTTGTATTGGATAAAGATGAAAATTTGTTATGATCGGGGTTGCAATGACATCGGAGTCGTCATAACAACGAACCCCCTCCTGTCGGTACTGGGAACTGTTCTTCCAAAATCGTTAACGGGAGTTTTTTCCTCCAATAGCTGCCTCGATTTTCGTGAAGTTTTAAGCGAAATCTATTTGAGAGTTTTCGAGATATTTTCGAATGAAGTTTTTATGGTCAGAGATACAGTGAAAAATGGACAATCTTGATGTTCGGCTGTTATCTGTAGAAAAAGAAGCGCTTTTAACATGCAATTTCACCTCATACTAGTTTCAATCTTTTTAAAAACGTGTGTGAAAGATCATGGAGATAGCTCCAGCTGACTGCTAGAAAGAAAGATTTGATTAGTATGTATCGAGGCGCTCGTGTTAGCAGGGACCGCGCAGGGGATGGGGCTGGGGGGCTTTAGCCCCCTTCCCCCCCCCCCCCCCCCCCCCCCCCCCCCCCTTTTTATCTGTTCGGATTTCCTAGCTGAAAGTCTAGTGATCCGAAAATTATAGGGATCAAAACTTACCTTTTCGAAAATTTCAGCTAGAAAAAAGGCTCCCGAAAATTGTAGGTGACCTTTTTAAGGGTAAAAATCCGTTGAAAATGGGCAGTTATACCATTTTTTGATGTTCGAAAATCCTAGGAGAGGCAGGCAAGCAAGAAATTTTGCAACAAATGTTCTGAAAATTCTAGATCTCAATTCGTCTTCCGAACAGATATTTTCCAAAAATTAACGTTGGGTGTCCCTGCTAAAACGACGCTTAATCCGCTTAATCAGGAGCCCATAACCTGATGAATCTCAATTTTTTGAAAAAATCTATCGAGTGTATTAAAAATTATTCGCTAATTTGTTAAAGTAGACCAAAATGTTTACAAAACCGCTAACTAGAGCGCCTCGATACATACCAGTCCAATCCTTCTTTCTAGCAATCGGCTGGAGCTATCTCCATGATCTTTCACCCACGTTTTTAAAAAGATTGAACTACTATGAGGTGAAATTACATGTCAAAAGCGCTTCGTTTTCTACAGATAACGGCCAAACATCAAGATTGTCCATTTTTATTGTATTTCTAAGCTTAAAACCTTCATTCCAAAATATCTAGATAACGCTCTTACAGATTGCGCTTAAACTTCGCGAACATCGAGGCGGCTATAGGAGGAAAAAGCTCCAGTAAACGATTTTGGAAGAACAGTTCCCTGTGCCGACAAATACTGCTGCAAGTAAAATAGGTAATGGCGTCATTTCGTTGCTATGACAACTCCGATGTCATTGCTACCCTGATCATAGCAAATTTTCACCTTTATATAATACAATTGTGGTGACAATTTTTCCAAATCTTTGTTTATGGCGATGCAGTTGATGCTCAAACTTGGGAGGTATTGACCCTGAAGAATTGTATCGAGCCACCTTAAAATACCTTGAAACTTTTTGACGGCTAACATTGATCTGCATATTTGCCGGTTGACGATAAAAAGGACCAATTTCCGACGGCTGACGGTTAAATTTTAGGCCGTTTGAAAGCTAACGGTTAACCCTGATAGCACCCTCAAAGAAATTTACAAACACGCGTGGTGGACGTGCGAAGTTGTTGTTTTGCTTATAAAACCTATTGCTTTTTTGCCGTTTCGTTGCCGTCTGAGCCCTGAAGTTTTAAGAATAACCACTGCCCAGATTTGGGAATAACCACTGCCTAAGGCAGTTCAGACGCCGTACTTTTCATGAACCGAACCTAATTCGAATTAAGACCGAACCCAATTTATTTGGACCGGCTGAATTGATTCAGACGCCGATCTTAATTCCAGCCGAACTAAATTCAAAAGGAGAAAAATGCTCAATTCGGTCAAACTACTTACAAAATACTTTATAATAATTTATGCATTAGGTTAGGTACATGAAAAGTTCGGCGTCTGAATCAAAGCCGTTCTAAAGTCGCTCCAAAGGCGAAATTCTCGGTCAGGCTAGGCGAAAAAAACGGCTGAACCGTTCCAAATTGATTCAGACGCCGAACTTTTCATATACTTAATTCAATGTAGTAGGTTCGCCTCTTGAACTAGGTTCCCTTCATGCAGTGAGAAAGCTTGCTTTGTGAGTCAAACGAGTCAATGAGTCACGAGTCAAGTTATGAGTTCGATCAGCATTGAACACTGAAAATAGTGACAGTTTTAGCAGAATCTTAGCACTGACTTGAAAATGGTTAACATTTAGGGATTCGTTTTATTTAAATGACTCATTGGCTCATGACACATTGACCCATCGTATTAACAGTGTATGTTAAGGTTTTACAATTGCCAATATTACCTTTTTTCCCATGCCACTTGCCAGGGTTTTCCAGATGTTGCTTCAGGTCAAACTCGTATCGAAATTTACGCTTACGGGTGCAGAATGGATATGAACAAGGGATTGACCTTTCTTTTGAAACTGTCGACAAACAATTTAGGTCATTGTTATTTAGCATTCTTCATGAATTTTCTAGATTACTCGCCTAACATCTCACCTTGACAAGAACTTTTAAAACCACACAGGTAGAGGATAGCCAGCAAACAGACCAAGACAGGAGGCCCAAACAACAACATCAGCGCCACTACTTATTTTAAAACTATGCGTTCCCCCCACCCCACCCCTTCGCCCTTACCTTGAAGTGGTGCGGAAAAACGAGCCAATTCGATGTGACATGGGCGGCAAAATGAAACCCTCTTAAAGAAACCTTGAATCCAATATTCTTACGGGGACATGCCCTCGGGTAAACCCACATAGCCAGATCACAAAATTCGATAAAATCTTCACATAACAATAACTTTCCATGGAAGAGAATAAGATTACTGATTACTGACGATCATTTCTTAAAGTTCGCGGATTTCTCTTTTTATTTTATTTAAGCCTCTAAAACATTGCTTGGGCTGCTTGCCTTAGCTCTGCCCAGGCCCCGCACTGAATTCCTTAAACGAAGTCTCTGCTACAGTGGGCCGGTGCACAGCTGTGGAATAGCCCTCCCCATAATGCCACAGAGGCCAGATCTTTTACTACGTTTCAAATGTAATCAATTGCCTTATGTCCCCCTCGCACTCCCACACGGCAAACATGTAAATCAGTTTTATTACTTTAATTGTCCTATTGTAACTGATGTTTTTACCATGTCTAAATAAAGTGTATGTATGTATGTATACATGTATGTATGTGTTTAGCTATTGTTTAACCCAGTAACTTTGCTAGATTCTGAAGTACAATATTTTCAACGCACATTCATATTATTATGAAACTATGTAAGGCCATCCTCTTTTTGTTTTCTTCGTTAAACGCGTTTATACTCATGCAAATAAGTATCATTTTCATAATTTAGCACTTAGCCTCGTTTTGAAAGTGAGAGTTTTTGGAACTCGAAACCGGCCTATCACTTCACTCGGCATGCAAAGGATTAGAATACTAATTAAGCACCTTTTTAATTGGGACTTAATTTAAACTGCTTTCCCTTTCATTTTAACCCAGTGGGACATAAAGTCATTTTACTCAATGTAGTACCTGAGGAGAGAAAATACGTGACTTTTCCTCTACGCAATCTAAGCTCAGCTACAAGCTAAGGTGTTTTGATCGACGGACGCTAACCGGAAGTGAGGCCTCATTCCTCTTTAATACGCCTTGACTCTCCAACATTTGCAGTGATTGCTATATGTGTCTTGACTCTTATAGAGACGATGTTTCGACGATTTGGGCAAAACTACTGCCTCAGAATGCGAAAGGCCCACTTCCGCTTAGTGCGGGTCACTCATTACAAACGTCTTTGCGTATAATACGCTTACAAGTGCAAAATGGATACCTGTATAACCATGTACATCTCTTTGATGTTGATCACGGCCATTATCTGTGGTAAACCGCTTTCGACAAACTGTACACTCAAAAGGTTTCGATCCATATCGCGAAGCCATAACTATATGAGAACGTAGCTTGTCCAGTGAAAGTAAAGCTTTTCTTTGCTGGTTCGTTTTATTTGTATTTCACAAGTTCATGTGCATAAGTGGCCCGAAAGAGGGAAATCACCGACTTCGTCATACAATGGTCATACTAAATTTCCGCTAAGTCACGTCCCAGAATCCAAAATTCTGGGACGTGTTTTTGGATTCTGGGAAGTGTTTTGGATTCTGGGACGTGTGTTTGGATTCTGGGAAGTGTTTTGGATTCTGGGAAGTGTTTTTGGATTCTGGGACGTGTTTTTGGATTCTGGGAAGTGTTTTGGATTCTGGGAAGTGTTTTTGGATTCTGGGAAGTGTTTTTGGATTCTGGGAAGTGTTTTGGATTCTGGGACATGTTTTGGATTCTGGGAAGTGTTTTGGATTCTGGGACATGTTTTGGATTCTGGGAAGTGTTTTGGATTCTGGGACGTGTTTTGTCCCTACGAGCCACGGTAGAATTCCCCTAATTTTCAACAGCATGACATTAATATTTTCATTCAAAAAAATATGGTCAAAAATCTAGCCGAACATACCAGAGATGTGAAATAACAAGGAAGAATCCACTGTGGGTTATGTTTTCAGTTATTTTTTGAATTAAAAAAAAAAGCCAAACAAACGAAACGAAATCGAAACTATTAAGCAAGCAAAAAAACAAAGCAAAAATGAAACTGTAAGTGCAGGTGACGTTGTTTTGCTTTCAGGGGAAAACAAAGCAAAGACAGTAAAAATGGTTCTTGATCTAGGCCCGCAGAAGGCTTTTGTTGTTGTCATTTTTTCCTTTTATCAAAAAGGTGAGGATCATCTATAAAAACGACGATGTGCTAATACCGGCTAAACTAACGTTTAGTGTGAAAAATTGGAAACATTTAAATAGGAGATTTAAAGTTGAATCAACAATGCACTAGTCAATTGAAATGCCAAACATGCTTTATTTGTTTGCGTCCACTTGAACTATATCAAACGAACATGGAGCAAATTTCATCCAAAATCATTGGCTGACCTCTTTGGGAAAATCCAAGATGGCCGCAAGCTGAAATCAGAAACTGAGATAAATGATCACCAAAATGGCGCCAAACACCACTTTCTTGCATTTTTTTTGACAATACATGAAATAGAGGAAATTTTAAATGCCGACTCTGTGCAGTTCTTGCGTTCCTTAAGAACGTGGAGAATTGTTACCTTATGCAAACCTCTGAACAATCACATTAGAATAGATATCACGCGGTAGCCCTCCAGTACATGAAGGATATATCTATTTGGCGTAAACGTAACATTGAAGAATAACCCTTTGATGATACCATAAATGCCTGGCTGGAATATATAACCTTGAAAATACCACAGACCCAAAATGGATTTGCACAAATTTTCTCTTTGCAAATATGTCGTTGTAAAAGAAAAAAGGAGGAGTAAATATGGGGCAAAGATGGTAAATGTCAAATTTTTATACCAAATACTGCATTCTGTCCGAGGTCTGTATGATAAATAGTACTGTTTCACCTCAAATGTGATGTATAAAAATTATAAAAGGTTGGTTTAAACACCCCCAGATTTGTTGGCAAGAATTTGTAAAGTAAACCTGTCTTTCCCTCAAAAGTCACATGAATGTGCCCTTAAGTTAAATGATTTGTGGATTAAAAGTTTATTGTTTGATTTAAATTATAAATTTATTAATTGGAGCTTCGCTTTTAGCCCTGGCTAAATCTATATATTACCAAAAACCACGGAGGTGTAAATAACTAGGCAGATGTGGCATTTACCATCTTTGCCCCAGATTTACTCCTCAGTTTTGTACAAATCCACTTTTTCGTCCGGTGTAAGTGCATGCTAAACCGTGCTATAATCCGGCTTTGGCTTGGTTAAACCTGTCTCGTTAGTTAGCTATTCTACCTGCCAGCCAATTAAGCGCACTAACTCGTCCCAAATTATTAAAGAGGACACTCACTGTTTTTTATATTGGTTTCGTTGTGTCAAGTTCGCACAGGGAGTTTCGCTACGGATGTTGATACAATGACTGTAAAGTCAGGTTAGATAATTTCCTGTAAAGAAGCCATATTAAGGAGACAGAATGCCTCTGTAATTTTAAAGACAGAGAGAGAAGAGATGAGATATAATGATGTTAACGATGTAAGAGAGAGATGAGATGTTATGACAATATGATTATAATGCTGGTTATTGTTTCAAGGTAAAAGTTGTGTTTAACGGCTTTATCAAGATCCCGAGCTACTTTTTAAGCTGCCAGCAATTGCAACAGTCAGCTGTTTTAATTAATTTACCCAATATAATTCCGGTACACAGAACTTATCTTCCCGGAAATAAACGCTCGTTCAAGATGATAGACACAACCAATAACTTAGTGTTTTTTTAATGCTTTTATTTTAAAGGCCCCTCGATTGAGATTATAGACTCTGCCATGTGCTTTTTCGCTGATCGATGAATCGATGATAATCTCGAAAACGACCCTCCGCTCTCAGAACCTGTCAATCTTAGGGCGCCTGACTAGTTCAGGCATAGGAGAGACTGGTTCAGGAAAGAGAACTTTCGCAAATTTATTTTACTCCTTTATAAATTTAGAAGGGTCATTTAGCAGCTGCTTGGAAGAGAAGTCACCAACGGTGCCTAGCCCTAACCTAAAAAAATCGTAGTCCTTCAATTCCAGTTATCAGTAACCCGTAGTACGTCACTGAGAAGGGGTTTCTGCATGGTTTCTTTTGCAACCTTTTCCACCTCATCCCAGCAGTCAACAGCGTCGTACAGGTTGTTTGTTGGGTTTGCTGGGTCAATAACATGTGGATCCTCAAGACTAAAGTGCAAAATATCACTAAAAAGGAGAGAAAATAAAATATGCAATAAATAAATCAGCTATATGATAGAAGATTTGTAGGATTGTGTAATTTTACAATTACCAAGACGTTTTATGAATTTCTTACCTGGAGAGCTATTCTTAGCTTTATGAAATTAAGTGAAAAGTTCATACAAAAAGGCTAACGGACTCAGGGCTTCAGGAGGAGGAAAAGGGGAAAGTTACCGATTTGCAAACATCCAAGGGGGACTGTGTCCTCGAGAAAGTAACTGAAACACATAAAAGCACCTCTTTTAGTTCTCTGGTAAACTGATTCTAAACACCCTATGAAAGTACCTGTTTTCAATTAATATACTCTTCGAGTAGTAATCTTTCCAAGAGACACCAAGGTTGCTGTGATTCTTTAGAAGCTCCATAACAGCTTTAAAACCAATCTTTACGTTAAACTTCTTGGGACATTTTGCTTCTTCCCAGGCATGTATTGTGAGAAGCTCCAGTAAGTACGAGGGCGGGAGTCGCTCGTGACCAGTCTGTGGAATGTACGTCTTGCGCCAATACTTCACCAGGCGAATCAGGTTTTTTAGGTTTTCAGGCCGGCGTTCCACGGGTTCCGTGACGAACTTTACTTGTAACTTCACAAGAGCAGCCGAATAGTATTCCCAGTTTTCTTCATCGTCCATCATTTGACTGTAGAACTCTGCTCTTTCTAAGAGAACATTAAATTTCTCCTCAGATTCAACATCATAAAAGATTTGCATAACTCGCTTCTCACGGATTGCGCACATAGCTTCACTAATAAGCAGTTAGCCAACAATCTAAAAATCACTGTTGAAGTCATTAAAGCTACGCCCATAACTTTAATGGATAAATTATTTATTGAGGACTGGCGTAGCTGGAGAAAACAAGTCCAGCAACAAGAAACAATAAAAATGAACCAAAATAGAGAAAGAAACCAGAAAAAAAACTCTAACCGGCCAAAATAGCTAAGCAAGTTTCAGTGACTATATTAAAATCTATTAAGATACGTTGGGTTAAGAGCGTTAAGTTTAACCTTGTCCCCACCATTTTCCCGCGCGCTAAAAAGTCCTGGTGTCCGCTTCTCAGAATTCGCGTTAACTTTACGGGACTGATCATGAAACCAAATATTCAAATCGAAATCTAAAGAAAAAGAGCGCGGGTGCTAGCTAACAAACCAGTCCATTTTGTTTTGTTAACTAATTTTTTTATCATGTTATAATGTTAACTATTGAAACCTCGATTTTAGTGTAAACAACAACAGCTTTCCGTTTCCATTAATTGTCGGGATTTTCGAGATACGGGCCCCCTGGCCAGGGTCAAGGTTTATTTTTTATTTTTGTATGACTAGGAATTCCTCACTCCAGTAACTATAAGGAGAACGAGTTCAAACTTTAAACAACGATTTCTGGCAACCTCGTCCCCAGGGCTTTTCTCTCAAAAAGTGGGTGGGAAAAGTCCTGGGGACGAGGTTGGATTTCTGGGATCGTTTGGATGGAAAATCGTTTCTTCTGATTGGTTAATGGTTGCCTTGAATACCATCGGCCAATCACAACTAACGCTTGTCCACCCAAGCGATCCCAGAAATCATTGCGCCGAAAACTTAACCTCGTTTCCCTTATATAAGGTTCTGGAGTGAGGAATTGAGCTAAGTGCCTCCCCAGCCTTTTTTCCTTAAAATGGGTGAAGCCCTGGGAATGAAGTTTTGTTGAGTTATCAATGGCTTTGGAAGAAAGCCATATACTGACAAACTTAATTATGAGCAACCCAACTAGCCTGATGTGATTAGGTACGTACCAGCATCAGTGCCTACGTTTGCTTCAAATCTTGGCAAGAGATCGACCTTGACATCTTCAGAATAACGTGACATTTTAAACTGCACTAAGTATGTAGATTTCTTTATGGATTTCAATTTCCATGGGTCCCCTTTCCAGCTCCTCCTCAAGCGTGACTCTAGGTCAGTCAAGATGAAGGGCAGTTTCCTGCTCAACTGGTCAGCGTTTTTAATCTTCTTCATAACCATCACGCAATCCAAGTCGGAGTGTTTTTTTAGTGCAGTGCCTTTTGCAATGGATCCACCCTACAAAGACAAGGTAGGTATGTAGAATCTATTCATAGCCGAGATTTTTCAGTCACTTTCGTGCTATGTATCTTCGCAACATCTCGACCCTTGTTAGTCCTACTCGTCAAGATCGGCACTGAGGGGACCAAAAGTATCAGTCTATCGCCTGGGAGGCTACTCAGTAATGACCTTAATCTCATTTCTATTTATTTGTAACCAACTCAAACTACGTATATTTTCCAACACTTTCCAGTCATCTGCTTTCGATCAAACCTGTTTAAACGCATATATTACACGTATTCTTTATTTAAATGCAAGAAAATCATCACCATCTTTTCGACGGTAATGCCCTGGATCCGACCCATTACATGATGTCTCACCAGAACTATTTTGCGATTAAGTAGCTTGCGTAGCGGGAGTCGAAATGGGTAGGGGATAGGGAGGAAGGGAAAAAAGGAGGGGGATTGGGGAGAGAGGGTAAGGGACACCTGCTCTAAGACTATAAGAGCACCCTGGACACTGGCGTCCTCAAATTCTTCATTAGCCTCCCACGCAGGCGTTTTTAGGGAGCTCGTATTTCGTCCCTCCCCTCAAACGCCTGCTCAACCGAGAACAACATTCCCTTCCCATTGTGGTAAGTGACCAATAAACAGTTGTGAAAGTGTTGACAGGCTAAACACGACTCATAACCTTGTGGTAATGTAAAAACGTGACCCCAGAGTTACCTTTCTCCTTCTTTTCTTTCCTTCGCTAAGGTTGTGCAGTGAATGGAGTATTCTAAAAACTCACTAAATCTTACTTTTGCCGCTCTGAGTCTAACATTTATCAGAGGTCATAAAGCTTTCCTTGTGTTTCATCCCGGGGTTTCATCCGGTCAAGGTCAACTTTCCAGAATTTGGAAAATACAATGTGATTGGCTAAGCTTGGGAAAGGAGTATTGTTCTCAGTTGAGCAGGCGTTTGTGGGGAGGGACGAAATACGAGCTCCCCTAAAAACGCCTGCGTGGGAGGCTAGTACCAGGGCGGATAAAGGTTGGGCGGTGAAACGAGCGCGTCCGAGCAAAAAGGTGTGATGCAGTGGACTGGGACTCTGCTTAGAAATGTCGCTTGTTTTCGACTTCGGTCAGGGCTTGCGATGTGGTTTGTACATTAGACACTGCCGCTGTCACTGAATTATGGCAGCTTGATTTATTTTCTTGCACTTCTTCCTCGTTCCTTTGTGCTGGTACGCTGTCTCCGAGAGGCAAATGTTGCTAATTTTTGCGGGAGGTTTAGTTGGGGTAGACAAACATCTCTTTCAAAGGGTTTCTTTTATTACTTCCATGACTCTACCACTGAATTATATTTTCGTTCTGCTACTCGCCAATGTCGATGTTATTTCAAAACAAAAACAACTAAGTACTGTCTAAAACACGAAGGAAAATCTCATCCATGTCATCCAAGGCAAAACTAAATGACAGCGGATCGTGTTTCATTATTTTATAAATGCGTGCAGCTCGCGCAAGGTGAAATTATGCTAATTTCAATCACCATCATCCTTCTTTTTAATTTTGAAAAAAACATCTCATACGTCTTTCTGTTTGTTCGAAACTTCAAAATTAGTTTCCCCTCAGTTTTTACTGTTTACCTTGTTTAGTTTTAGAGAGAAAAACTGAGAAAAAACCTTACAACTAACCTCAATAAATTTTGTTTACATGCGGTTGCCGGATTTGCAACGCATTGCGCGAATCGCCATGGCGCGTTGCACCCGAGAAGCAAAGTTTGAAGAAGTACAACGCCACTATATCAATATATATCAATCTAATTTTCTGTTATGTTATATAAAATTTATCCCCCTTTAACATATGTAAAAATTGAGGTTAAGAAGTGTTAAGCTTTTGCAAACGAAACGGCGAAAGACGATTAGGTGATATTAAGTGGAAGGAGGAGGTATTCAACACTTTCAAATTAAACTCAAATTTTGGCATTATACGACCAACAAGTTTGACTTCTAGACGTACAGACACAAACATATGAAACTGTTTATTCATATTGTTATGAAACGAATTTATCTATTTAACATTGTAGCCTGAAATTACAGAAAGAAAATAGGATTTCCGGTTTGCAAAAAGGAAAATTTCGCCGGCCTTGAAGCGCACCGGAAGCGCGGAAAGAGCGCTCGTGCCAGTCCTACTCCGCATCACACATTAAATGAAGAGCGGAGCGCTCGTTTCACCGCCCAACCTTTATCCGCCCTGGCTAGTACGCTTATCGTAAATCGTAAATCTACTCATTGCGCATATTAAATATAAGACTAAAGCAAACATTTCAACTGCTAGCTGCTTTTGGGGTGCTACTTTTTAAACACATCCAGCATCTTCTAGGGATTTTGTTGGAAGTTAACGGCATCTAAACCGATTCTTTTGCCTCTGCGTTTTCTTTCGAGTGGTTGGAGGGCGGAGGGAAGGTTGTCGCGCAACTAACCTCGATCAAGTTATGAATTCCATACAATGTATCCCGCAAGAGTCTTTGTAGTTCTTTGTACAAGGAATCAATCGCATCATTATACAAATTATGAAATTCTTTATCTGGCTGCAGATAATCACGTATGAATATATTCACTTCGACGCTACTTAAAGCTCGATCAAGGAGTCCTAAAAAAACAATTCAAGTCACTGTTACGAAGTGTAGTTCTTGGAGGCAACTGGATTGCCTAATTAATCGTAAATTTTCTGGTTCGTTTGCACAACATCGAACAACATCTCAAGATGTAAAATGATCTAGTTATTTATTTTAAATTTTGTAAGAAAAATTTCCGGCCCCGTGGAGTGGGGCGGAAACACGAGCCACTGAGGTGTGTTACAAAGCAGGTAAAATGATGTTTCACTCCAATTTCCCTGCTAGCAGCTGCTTTTCTACACACACTTACTATTGCTTTCAGTTTTAACTTCTTATTCATCCAGTAGGTTGAACAGAGTTTCACCAAAATCGCATTTACCCATCCCCAAAATAAAGCGATAAATTTGTATGTGTAATCAAATGGTGACGAGTGAAATTAGGGAATAATTTCACGCGCGTTTTGTCCAAATCCTTATAATTTCCCGAGCCTTTATATGTAGCCGAGAGATTTTTACAAAAAAATGCCGGCAACAGCAAAATTTCGACTCAGACCCCAAAGAGGAGTGGCACTATAACCACGTGACATTTACTCCGATAGCCAAAAATTTTATGCTACATTGTAGATCGATCTATATGTAGTCCATGCTATATGTTAGACTTACGATTAAAGTAAAGGTGGGGATACCAGAGAGCTTCAAAGTAGGATGGTACCCTCACAAAATAACTGGGTCGAGTCATCCAAAATGGCTTTTTTTTTTTTTCACTGCTAACTAAAAAAATTCTCGGAATTTCTTGCGTTTTGATTCTATAAAAGAGCTTAATATATCACAAATTTTGTTAAAGTCATGATTAATTGGTAACAGAACTTCGTGTCGTCCAATTCGGTCTGTAATGGCCGAATTTATACTAGAAACGAGTTATCCGTCTAGACGGATTATCCGTCAGTGACGAATAATCCGTCTAAGTATAAATCCGAAGACGAATTTTGCTCCATAATTTGTCTAGATATTTTAAGCGGGAAACAACCGTGGGAAACAGGAAACATTGCGAAAATAGAGAAACCAGTCCCTCTCATGTGGAAACTTCGTCAAATTTGGAGACGAATAATCTGTCTAAGACGAATTATCCGTCTGTCAGCACCGCTTGAAGACGTGCTAACAGACGAATCAGCCTCAGACGAATTTTGCTCCATAATTCGTCTTAGCACCGAATTTATACTAGAGACGGGTTATCCGTCTGAGACGGATAATTCGTTTCTAGTATAAATTCGGCCAATCATAGCCGTGATTAAACAAATCGGACTCCCGCGTGATTTTGTTAATCACGAGTATGATTACAGACCGAACTGGACTCCACTCAGCCCTGCTACCATTACTTATACTACTACATAAGAAATTTCTACAATTTGATACAAATACCCATACAGAGTGTCTATAGTTTTTAGGCAGGGTTAAACACTGACTCGATAACAGTTAGTATTCAGTGATTCTTTTTTGTTTAAATGACTCATTGACCCACCATGCCGTCTATTAGGACTAAAGAATAAATAAACTTTATGTAGAACTCTTATAATTGCTAATATTACCTTTTGTCTCATGCCAATTGCCTGGGTTTTCCAAATGTTGCTTTAGGGCGCGGGGGGTAAACTTGTACTGAGATTGAAATTTACGTTTACAAAATGGATATAAACAATATATATCACCTGAAAGGCGAAAAAAAATTAAGTTACTTAAATTCACTATGAATTTTATCGATCATATGCCCAACATCACCTTGGCAAGAACTTTTAATAGCATACAGGTAGACCATGGCTAGCAAACAGACCATGACGAGAGCTCCATGACAGGATTGGAAGTCCAAATTAAACTAAAACTTCAGTGCTAAATGTATTAACTCTAATATATAGATTTAGCCAGGGCTAAAAGCGAAGCTCTCGTTAATATCTATAGTTTACTCATACAAAATATAAAATCGTATAATGCTAAACGGCGACGGGAACGAGAACAGCCAAAAAAACATCAGTAGGTCTAATTAGCAAAAAACAAAAACTTTGCACGTGCAGCACACTTTTTTTATACATTTCTTTGCCGTTGTTTTGCACGACGGCAACGAGAAACTTTCTAGTTATATACACGTTTTATGTGTTCCTGTTTACTTTTTTTTTTTCGTCGCCGCCGCCGTTTATTTTCACCTTGGTAGCAGCTAGCACTGTTCCCTTTTTTCTCACCGCCGCTATAAAATTTTTATGTTCTTCGTCCAACGAAATTGGTCACCTTTGTTAGAAAGTTATGCTCCAGTCCTCGCCCCAGTCCTCTCTCGCAAAATGATCATTTAAAGCCAGAAACATCCCTTTGTTGTCGTTTTGTGATGAAACGAGAACGGTGAGCCCCCGTTTTTATATGTGCTTTTTACTCGTTATGGCTGCACAAAAATATATATTTAGGAGAAAAAATCTGGATAGTGGAAGTTTTATTTTTGTTAGGTATGAATGACACGAATTTCCTCAGTTAGAGCCACAGAGAAGTACCATGATAAAACTGTCCATTTCTCTATATTTTTTTTTTCAAAATCGGGTAATTTGAGGTGTCTTAACTGAAAAAATATAGCTCAGACGAACAAATGGGCTTACGGTTTTGGTAAGATTGATACGTTTTGCTATAAAATAAGAATTTTTGACGGTTGTTTTAAATTCGAACACTTCGCGCGCAACTAGGAAAAAAACCTCAGAATTACGGGCACACAGGGCTAAAGTCCTGACATTTTTGCCAAGTTTGAAAATCTGCATAGTAGATCATTTTCAAGGGAATGACCTTAAACAATCGACCAACCCTCCGCTTTCTCACCTGACCTAATTGGCAACTAAACAGTTACGTCATTCCCTGAAAGTAGTTTAAACATAGAGCGTTTTCACTCACGTGGTCAGCATCTATGCAAATTGTTGCAACAAAAGAAAGCGTTTCCATAAGAAAAGAATTCAACTCTCGGTACACCAACATGGCCACCGTGACGTCATGTGAAAACGCTTAATTGTTTTCAATTTTTTTTCAGTGGGACTTGAGGTTTTTAACAGATACAGGAGAAAAACACCAAGGTACCAAGGTAGACCAGCGACGGACGCTAACCGAAAGTACCGAGAACCTTTCCTTCCTCATGTGCCTTGAAACATTTTAGATTTTCAAAAGATTCGGGCAAAACCATTGCTCAAGAATGCAAAAGGTCTACTTTCAGCTAGCGTCTGAAGGCTTACTGAAGTTTCCTTTCATACCATACTATAAGGACTTGGGAAAAACACTTGTATTAGGTACGTAGTGACCGTATAAGTAAAATTTTTATAATTGATGGTTATTACCTGTCATTTTCTTATGCCTCTTGCCTGCGTTTTCCACATGATGCTTTAGATCATTTTCTGTGGCGAATCGCCTCGGGCAAACCGTACACGCGAAATGTTTCAATTGCCAATACTTATCACTATGTACCGCTCTTTCATGATCATCACTTCCATTTTCGGTGGAAAACCGCCTCGGACAAAATGAACAAAGTGAATCCATTTCTAGCTCACAACTCCACAATGACCTTCTGAGAACGACGCATCTCGAGTAAAAGCTAGTGAGCGAAGCTTAACTTTCCTGGTTCGTTTTATTTGTATTTCACATGTCCATGCGCTCATATAATAGGGAAATCCCCTACGTTGTCATACAATGCTGGAAAAATGCCATTTTTTGTCGAGTGCTAATAGAGGGTAATAAGTTGTACTAAAAACTACTAAATAACCCACTGTTGTATTTTAAATTGGAGTTTATTTTTGCTCTTTTAAGCTCACTTCACTTCCGCTATGCAAATTTTGCGAGAGAAAAAAATTATTGATTGCCCAGCAGTATGGCCACGTTGTCTGGCGGCTGAAAACCAGCAATATGTCAGCTGATATGCGGCCTCGTCACGCGATAGTCACTCCGAATATGACTGATATCTTGTCTGTTACTTCTACAATAATGTCATGGCTGAAAAATCCCAGTTTTGGAGAGTGCTAAAAAAGAAGTAAGTTATACTATTTATTTTTTTGTTAAACCACCGTTGTATTTGAAAAATTCGACTTTATAATTAGGGGTTTCCCCACCGTACCTTGCGGGTTTTCAGTTTTATCATGTTAGATGCAAAACTATTGAAACCTCGATCTTTAATGTAAACGGAGACAGCTTACTGGGCCCGTTAATTATCGGGACTTTCGAGAAACGGACCCCAGGCTGGTTACTTTCGCATTTGGCACACTTTGCCTATCACTACTACTTTCGGGGAGTCGTTACTTTCGGATGGCTAAAACGAGTACTTCACATGCCGGGCAGTCAAAAAACATATTTTCGTGGTATGAGAACGCTGTTTGTCAAGTGAAAGTGAAGCTTTACTCTATTTGCCACCGGTCTTCGTCATACAATATGGTCATACCCAAGGCTTCTTATAAACATCTAATATAAGGACCATTTTTTTGCGAGAACCAATAGAGGGTAATAATTTGTAGTAAAAACTACTAAATACTTGTACTAGTAACTCACTGTTGTATTTTAAATTCGAGTTTTAACATTGCTTGTTTTCAACAGACCGTCACTTCGGCCATGCTAATGAACAAGAACAAAAGCGATCCCTTCTGTTGAAAGCCAAACACTCTCTTCATGCAAAGTTTGCGGAAAAAAATTTCCTTAAAGCGGGTTTTGACTGTATATTTTTGTCCCCCAGGATGAACGTTTTATCTTTTACAGGTGCTGAAATCAGCAATATGTGGCCTCGTTATACGATGTTTATTTTTACTAGAACGTTATGGCTGAAAAGAAATGCAAAAAATGCCAGTTTTGGAGAGTACTAAAAAGCAATAATTTATACTATAAATTTCAAACACTCGAATTAACCCCATGGTGTATTTTAGATTCGACTTAATAATTAAGGGGGTTCCCCAGCAACCTGCTGGGTTTTCTTTTCCATGCTTTAGTCAGATTCTGAACCGCTTATTAATCAGGGGGTCTCCCAACTTGATTTCTCCTAATTTTCAACAGCATGTGACTAGAATATTTTCATTTTATTAAAAAAAAATGGTCCAAAATCTTACAGAAAATGCCAAATAAAATAGCAAAGAAGAATCCACTATGGGTATGTCTTTAGTAATTTTTTACGTTGAAAGAAAGGAAAGCGAAACGAACCGGATACTTTGGATACAGTGCCAAATGTAACTCAAATTTTACAACATGCATCAGCTTTTTGACAAGACGGTTTACCTATACGACCAGTTTTGAACCTGAGTCATGAATTAAACGATGGATTTTATCCGTTTTATAGAGGTGGTAAAATCGCAATACAAACAGGACCTGTATTGTTCTAGGAAAAAACTGCTTCACAACTTCGCCGGCGCGTCTTGCAAGACTTAATTTTTCCAATACATATCTTATTTCTATACCTGTCTTCATTTGACCCGTCTAAAGCAGTATCTTAAAGCTAACCGTCCAGAATACAATGAAAGATCAGCAAAATTGCAACGTTGTCAGCAGCCGTGTTTTTCTTTCAGTGCGGGATACCGTCGAAATGGAAATGAATGAAAATTATAATCCCTTTTAATTTGGATCCCGGCATCGTTTCTTTTCTCAACGAAAAATCCTACTTGTCCGGATTTTTTATCTGCATCATGGATTTTCGTAAAGAAACGTACCCCAAATCAACATCACCACCATCATCACTATAATCATCATCATCATCATCATTACTAGCACCAACAGCACCATCATCGTCATCATCATTATCACCATTCTGTCATCAAGTCTCATTAGCATCTGTCGGTCAGTTTGCTGCCTGGGTCTTAAAAGGAATCATCGGCTTTTCATCGATTAGCCCTGGGCAGCATTGAAAACAGCGCGCAGTGTTTGTTTTACATTTTTCAAAATGAATCTGTATTTGTTAAAGGGAAAAAAATTGATAAAAACTGTTCCAAAGTTTTTAAACGGTCAGTGTAAAACGAAGACTGCGGACTGCAGACTGCAGACTGCGGACCAGGGGTAAAATGCAGACTGAGTGTAAAATGCAGACTGCAGACTGAGAGTAAAATGCAGGCTAGGGGTAAAATGCAGAATTAAGATCGACTGCAGACTCTTTAATACACCTTCCTTGTCGAAGTACATTGCACATTCGCCAGAAGTTTCAATGAACGTCCGAACAGCTTACGTCCGCCTACCTTGATTTGCAATACTTTCATAGAAGGTCATCCAAATTTCCTGCAGAACATCTTTTTTTGTTGTTGGAATGTTTTACTCCCATTTTTATCGCCATAATTCTTTCTGTACAGTATTTTGGGTCAGCAGCTTTTAATTAAGCGTAAACATCGTGTTGTACCAATTCACGGTCACGTGTATTGAAAACTGGAGCTTGAGGTCTCTCGGACAATGGATATAGAAAGTAAACTCTATCTATTATCCATGCTCGGACGGAAAAAAAAGGTTCAAGATTGCGATTATGTTTTTGGGTCGTCGACGAAGTTCTAGAGAGGAATGACTGGATTTGTGAAAGCAGATATATGTCGTCAAGTAAGTGTTTGTTGACGTGTATTTTGCGGGATCTTAAACCCTTCCGCGACTACAGTTTATGCTCGGTCTGCATTTTACCCCAGTCTGCGTTTTACTCTCAGTCTGTAGTCTGCATTTTACACTCAGTCTGCATTTTACCCCTGGTCCGCAGTCTGCAGTCCACAGTCCGCAGTCTTCGTTTTACACTGACCGGTTTTTAAAACAGGTTGGTCACGTGGTATAATTTCTGAATCTCTCTAATGAGTGAGACCTGGGACGAAGAATCAACAAAGATGGCGCCCAAAAAAAACGTGCTTGTTCTGGGCCTGAACTTTACAGTGATTTCACCGTTTGTACTGAACGCCAACACCTTGGCTTAAATGGTTAACCATCTGGTGACTTATTCGTTATCGTTTAGCTTCTTTACGTGTTTAGAAATGTGCTACTTCAGCAACGGGAAACAAGCTTTGACGCAAAGCAGTACAAAACGTCTGTCGGCCCGGTGGTTAAATTAAAGGTAAGGCTCTTCTGAGATCGTAGAAATGTGGTGGAGACTAAGATTCTTTTATTAATGTAAGAATGTAAATTTTCCAACGGCTACGTGCAGGGGTGTCAACCCCCCACGTCTTTAAATATAGAGAATTGATAGGGAATACGACACATGACATCTTTAATTATTGTGCAAATACTCGTTGACTCCAATCATCAGGAATTTGTGATGAAACAAAAGCGCAAAAAAGATGCTGCTGTCATTGTATCGTTTGACCTGATTGGTTTGCTTCCCACCAATCACATTATTTACATTATTTACAAATTATGGCATATCGGAGTCAAATCTGGCAAATGGATGCTTTACAATATTATTTTATTCGATGGTCCTTATTTTTAGTTAGCAGTTATGGTAGTAGGAGATAAAAGTAGCTGGCGAAAGATGGCTAACTAGCTGGCAGTTTTGGCCGGCTACTGGCCCTATTGACACCGCTGCACTTCTGTGGAAGGCATGAGCTGATTAGGCCCTGCAAGGCCAGTAGTTTGTCTGCTGTCAGTTCTAATCCCAACACTACAAGCACCGTTGCAGGGCCTTTGTATTTCCTCGGTTGGAGAGGCAGGCCTAGCTGTTTGCAAACTGTTAGCGTGGTACTCAAGTTGTGCAAGACAGTGTTGTTGCGAGTCCGGGGGTTGGGGGTGGTGGTAATGAAGTCATCTAAATAATGAAGCAATGCAGGGATGTGATTATGTTAATATGACAACGACACTCCTCCACCCTCAAGGTGACTATGACATAGCCAAAGTAGAGAGTTCAAGATCGCCTGGACTTGCTGCAGGAACAGGGAGGAGAGGTAGAGGGCACTTGGACTCAGCACTCAGCTTACTAGACTAATCCCAAGGACAATCTCCAACACAGTGTTGGCCAAAGCAGCTCGAGTACTTGTGTATGAAACTGTAAGAGGCAGAAGGAGCAACACACTGGTCATGGATCCAAGATTGGCAAATGATGTTAGATGATGCAGCTCCCACGAGGCTCGCTCGAGTCATGTGCAGTGTCACAGCCATGCACTGAGGCTTCAGCGTTATGGAAGTTAAACAATTACACA